TCTTTGAAACCCTCCTCGGCCTTTAATTTTAGGTACTAATCAAGGGGCTCAGTTTTCGTCTAAACCGCCTTTATGATGGACTGCCATCTTTGCCAGAATATTACAATTATATTCTTTATTGTACAATACAATCAAAAACGCAATAAACTATATATTCTTTTTGCAGATCCTATGAAAAGCAGTGTTAGGCAACAACGGGGCAGTAGCGAGATCTTTCTGCAGTTAGTTACATCAAATGTAGCGCTAATGTGGGTGGGTGAACTATTGCTCAGACCTCACAAGAACGAAGATAACAATCTTTAGATTAACATGACACGAACACTGAACTAGAATTTGATGCATGCACTCAGTTCAAGTGAAGAAAAAGTGTGTTACATGTGTGCGAAATCAGACCAGTAAGTGCATAAAGCTTATATTGACTATATGTAGAAGAAGGCGCAGTATTGGCACTGAACTGAGCGATCCGAGGTGGCTGAGCAAACTCGATTACATTTGCAGAGGTGATTCGATCCCCTAAACCTTCGCAGGATTATGAAAGCTAAGTTTCGAAAGTGAATACCTATTCCTTCCACGCGAGAAGATCCAATGGTTTTAGCGAAGAGCACGGCACGGCCCTCTCTCCGCGGTCAATAGTGAAGGCATTTGGTACAATTCTTGTCATACTCAAATGAAATAATAAGTAAGAGCCCTTACTGATTTATTTGCCAGAAAATCTGAACCAGGATCCAACCAGAACTCACCTGTCACCTGTTTGGCATAGCACCCATGAAAGTGTCACTGCTTTCAACGCTGCCACTTGCTTAGGCATGAATACTCCTTTGTTTTCAAAGTAGAATCTAGGAAAATATTAATCAGTAGCAAAGCCCCCGACTAGAGATAATTTCAAAACTACGAAGGCCCAAAGAGTTCACCTATCTCCATCGCGAAGTCGTACAAATTGTTCTGCAATGATGCAAGCAAATGTAGGACCAACCACGCTGCCAGCGATTGGTTCTTCCAGTACTCCACCAACGTACAGATCGATCTTAAAAAAATTTCTGTTGACAGTGCCTCTTCAGGAAACTATGCCGGAACAATGACTGCTGTTTTCCCGAGTTTTTCAATCTCGCACACAACTACCATTAAGCCTTTTATACCAATAAAATAATAATTCTGCTACAAAGCATGCAGTGTTCTTGTTAAGACGCATTTGCGCAAGACCTTCAATTCATATTGACACAGGGCCCAGCACTAGGTGGGCGAGTCAAGCTGAAGATCGGGA